ATATTAGACGAGCATCCATTAATGGGGCTAAAGTACAGCAGAAAATGAATAGAAATCAGCTGGAGACTTACTCGTGTCGTAAACTGCAGACTCTACCGTGTAGAACCTCTAGCAGAAAATTTGAAACAGTCAACCATATATTGCATGACTGCGCGTCATTAAATTGCGGGCGGCAAACACTTTTGGAGGCTATTAAGTTACACACACTGGGAGTAACACACATCTTCATCTCGATGTGTGTTACGACTACAACCGAAGATTTGGTTTTGTTTGAGTTTATTTTGAGCTTATATCCTCTCCTACTTCGTGAATAAGATCAAGCAGAATCTGATGACATTCAATATTTTTTAAGAGAACTACTGTATCATTCACGTATTTAATGGACTTTTACACATTTATGCACTTGACTTTCATGTATTTTATTTGATTCATCTGAGTTTCAAACGTGCATAGACTTGGAATTATTAGTTTACGGTTTTTTTAGTTCATTTTTATTATTTTATTTACAAAGATATTCACTATTTCACTGTGCACAAATGACATCACTGGAATTTTCGATTTAAAAGGTTCTAATCGGTTTTCACATGTTTTAGGAAAGAAAAGATATAGCATATGTCATAAACTCTGCCGCATATGTCATAAGGTCATGGTCGAAACAAATAGACTTGTCAGGGGAATATTTGGCACACCTTCCCTCTACCACCGAAGAATAATATCTCAATAAAGCTATTTTTTTGTTACGTTGAAATTTCACACCATATTATACTTTTAAAAAGTTTTATTTGTGAAAAAACGCTTAGTTAATACACTTATTAACACGATCCAAAAACATCCGCTGGTACAATGGTGGACGGACATGTCTATATAATCAATAATCGAAAAAAAAAGAATAATCTATTTCTAGAAAAATATTTGGATATTGTACTTTACGAAAACAACAAATGGAGTTTGTACACATTGAAAATAACTCACAAACATTATTTATTAAACTTATTTATTTTATTGAGATAATACAACCATTAGCCAAAAAAAGTTCACAAGACATAAAATAATGGAGTGAGGTGACAGAAAAATTAGAAAGTAACACATTTCATTATTCAAAAGTAGTTAATTAAATGGAAACAAAATCTAAACAAAATGTGAAAACTAAACGAGGATCACTTTTCCAGCCCTCTTCAAAATGACAACATAATAAATTATTCACATCAACCCTTTTGTTGTTATTGGCCATGACATTATGTTTCAGAATTTTGGCAAGTCTCATTCTTTCAATGTTCTTAGCATTTTTTTATTGATTTTTCCACACCAACATCTGTCTTATAATTTGACTCTCCGCGGACTAACACTGTGCCTTAAGAGCTTTTACTTAAAATAATCCTGTTCGTTTTTGAGAAAGCAAAATGCCATTGTCCTGGAGCCTTAATGTGCTTGCTTGTTTTATTTTTCCAGTCATATACTTTGACTACTTCTCCAACCCTCCAACCCTATATTTTGAAAACATCTCCAGATATTCATGTGGTTTCAGAATTTTTTTTTTTACTAACTTCTTTTCCACAATGTGGTAATACGTTGCCTTTTTCGTGTTTTATTACTAGCTACCGGAGAAACGTTTGCCTCCATTACACGATTTATTACTTTAAAATTTCGAAAACATACGATACTACTTAACAAACTGTAATGCTTCTGTGCAAACAACTAACGTAAAAACAGAACCTTTTTAACGCGAAATTTGCATTGACAAATATGTAAAGGATATTGCACGCCTTGAAATATTTGCCACTCAAATCAAGAAAATCCATTGGAGATTGTACACTTTGATTTTAAATATTGGATAGGAGATTGTAAGGTTTGAAATGTTCATGTCATTGGAGACTGTACGTTTTGAATTGAAGTCTAAGTTTCTGCCTTCAAAATTCATTGAATAATGACTATTTGAAAAGAGATTTTCTATTGTTTCGATTCAGGGCTAGAAACTCGACGTAATTCGACATCTATCTCATTTTTTGTGAAATATTGAGATTGTACACTTTGAAACTATACACCTCATTTGTTACTCTTGCATAACTTTCTCCTAATATTATTTTCTGAATATTTTCTTTATTATTTTCATTCCAGATATTCTTTTCCCTCTTCTTCATCACTCATTCACTGCTATAAAGCATAAAGGAGGGGTCTAAGTTTAGGTTTGTCGCCTTTGCAGTATTACTGGATTTCAAAACATGCTACCAAGTGCCAAGCATAAACCGTTGTTTTTCACCGCGCAATTATTTTCCCAATTTTTGGAATTTGTACTGTGTTTGGAAACTGTACTTCTTTATTAAATTTTTTTGTAAAGCTTTTCATAGAAACTACTAGAAATGTTCCAATTTCAGTTTTCTTTGACGGCGTTTTTATTAGTTTAGTATGCACTTATTAAATTCTGGTTTGGAATGTGCAATAATCTTATTCCATCTTTCTTCTTTTTAATTCGTTGAAGTAATATGCTGAACCCGACCTAATGACTAACTTATGTTTTAGTTGTATTTGCCTTGCTCGTTACAGCTAGATATATCTTCTTCTTCTTCTGATTTAGCAGTATTTGGATAAAACTGTAGTTCCTAATAGCTCCGACCTTGGCCTCAAAATTCAAGCGTTCGTAAATTGTCCGTCATTCGTCTCCCCTTCTCTCTTTGAACGTTCAACAGACACGAGGAAATTTTGTTTGAGTGGTCTCTTGACGAGGTAAGCCGAAAAATTACTTTTCTATTTAATATTTTCATATAAATATTTATTTTAGACCCTTAACGGGAGCTCTAATAGTTACCAGAACTATGTTTATTGGCCCGAGGTTATCTAAATAGCTATGGATTTATGGTATGTGTTCTAAAACCAACAATTCGAAGAATATCCTGTTTCCTTAGTCGCCCAATCCTATATATTTTTATGGTGGATATTATGTTTCTGCTGCCGATAGATTCAATGGTCTGAAATCCCAACCTGAGTACCTAGTTGGTAAAATTTATATTCTTTCTACAAGCCACACAAGTATTTGGATAATTCAGGTTGTACCAATTTTATATATTTTTTTATTGAACAGTGAAGATTATCTATGAACTATGTAACCTCGGAAACCTTTTTTGGATGGTGCTAGAAAGGTCAGCAATGGAGACACTGCGGACGGCAGCTAGATGGTTGGTGGAGAGCGAGTCGTGGGTTCTAAACTAGCTTTTGGAACCGGGAATGGGTCCAACAGACGAAATAAGTAAAGATGACAGGATAAGATATGTTAGAAAAGATACAGAAATAAACAAAAAGATAGATGGGTAAAATTACCAAAGATAAGATAAGATAGAAACAGGGCGCCACTCAAATTTTTGGGGTTTAAGGAGAAAATTAAGAAACCTTAGAAAAGACAAGAGATAAGGAAAGATATTTTGGTTCTGAGATCAAATCCAAGGAAAAATACCAACAGTTCACTATTCAAAAATTTTGGTCAACACTCTACATACACAAGTAATAAATATATTAGGTGGACTCTGTCCATCTACTTACCTACGAAACTTAATCGCCTGATCTTTCTTCTGGCTAAGGGCATAGTAATATTTGAAGGTAAAAAGCAAATATTCAGAGTTATTGTTATATCAGGAAACTCATTATAAGTCGACAAATAAAACTCATATATAAAACAAAAACAATATATTCAACAACACAATGATATAGGAAGCTGAATGTACACAAAAGTAATAAAAAATGCACTATCAATTACTAAATGGTGGTTTACATATAAAAATAAACAGTAATATGAATAATAAGTACCTTTACAAATACAACAATATAATAATGCACAAATTCAATTATCAGCGAAGAAAGCCTGATAGTGAGTAAGAAAAAAATTCAACCAAATTTGATTAAAGAAAGTATCTCTTTGCTGTTTAATGGGTATATCTAGAGATAGTGGGTATAGTAAATAAAAAAAATGAATAACAAAGCACACAAAATTAATTAAAGTTAAATTTAAAAAATACAAAAATAATACAAAAATAAAAATTTAACCAAACCGCACTTGGTCGTAGGTAATTATCTATCTCGCACTGTTATTTACTGATTGATTGAGAATTAAATGTTGTAATTATTATTTATTAGAATTTCTTAGTAGCTGATGGAAAGTTCGTAAGAAAGTATTGAATGTTCTTTAAATTGAATGCAAAAATCAGTAGTTACTCTCAACTACAGGTGAAGATGGATGAACTTAGATTGGCCCAGATTATTGAAGATAATATGATACCATACCATATTATTCGCCCAGATAATTGGAGATACTATGGTTATGATAACTTACAGTAATTCCTGATGACTGCTACGCTGCACTGAAGTTAATTTACTTTACTAAAATACTTTACTTGTATCAAGCACTGAAGTTAATTAAAATTAAAGGTAATCTATACCAATATTTAATCGAATATGATATTAGATCAGAAAACTCAAATATACAAGTGTATACACACTTAGCAAGAAAATGCACAGAGAACGGTACAATAACACAGAGACGATAATATGAGCTAAGCGCCCCACGAGAAGTAAGTCTTTACTCGAAGAGTTGCAAGTCTTTACTCAACGAGTGCCCACTCAGAAGTGACTTAGTTCCTCTCAAATTTTTCACAAACTTCCACAAAAAAAAAGAAGGGATATCTTCCACTTAAAAATGATAGGTCAGCCTGTAGTATTTTAAGAAGATAAAGTTCTAACGACTATCGGAAAGTTCGGGGTAAATAACAGTAGCAGCAATTGGACATGAGGAAAATAAAACCCTTTAGATTAGGTTATTATAGAAAAACATTACAACGTGCCCCCGACGATATTTACCAATTTATCCAAAAGAACCCGCCTTCACCGAAAGGCATTAGTTCCTTTCATACTCAGGATTACAAAGAAAAGGATTAAAAACCTTTCGTACTCAGAGAAATTCCGTGATATTTTGGTAGGTCCAATAAAAATTAACAATCCTTTTTGCGAACACGGCCATGGGCATATCAGCAACGGAGGTAAAGGTAATAAAAATAATTATTATTTTAATTATATAAAAAAAATGTTGCAACTAAATAACAGTGAAGTGATTTATTATAGATCTTTTAATTACAATAAATATCTATATAATATATAAATCTATTTTTTTGTGTGAACAAATTTCGAAACTTGGGATAAAGTATACAGTTATTTTCATATAAGTATTTCTCATTTATAATCTAATGCCAAGATATAAAATCTTCATTTTCTTGCAATATGATTTTAATTTTAGTCTCGTATAAGCTCTTCTTATTTGTAATTTGATAACCTTTTAACGTAGAATATTTTAGTAACTTTTTGTTCGTTACCAAATAATATTGGTTAACTTTGTTTTCAATTTTTCATTTTATTTCTTTGAGCTCGTTTCCATACGAAGGTAAACTAATAAGGAATGAAGCACACTTCATTTTAATTTTAAAGGCAATACAAACATCTTGTATATGAATTTTGAAAGAACCACACCCAACCTCTTTTCGACACGAGCAGAAGGGCCTAGATTGTTTGTGTATATAAGTAAATAGTTTGCTTGTGTTACAATAGATTTATTGTTTTTTCAATTAATCGGTTAGGTGTGTTTGTTCGTGATTTTCCAGATAATTATGACGCTGACTTTTTATGTAAATTATAATGATTATGTTTTTTTGCAATTCCACCATTTCTTTCCTTTTATTTTGTTCCTTATTAATTTATGTTTTTCTTTGTATTTATCTGGGTTTTTGTTTCTATATTTTCTTCTTTGTTTCACGATGTCCATTATTTTTTGAGACATCCAAGGTTTTCGAATTTTTTATTTCTTTTGTAGAGTTTAGTTCTGTATATTTATAACAGAATCTTTTCACAGATTTTGCTCCACATAATGTTCACATTCTCAGTGTATACTAAGAACTCCCTGTATGCTGAACATGAAAATGTGAGCTTTTAAAATAACGTAGAAAGACTATGTTGACCCGGCCATATTCGCTCAGTGCGTGACTGATGCGACACCTACCGCCTTCATCTGACAATTTTGGAGTCCCAATTTTCAGGTTAAATATATGACATATGTTTGACATTGTTAAATACATGCGAAATTGACAATTATTAATAAATTAGTTTTTTAACTATATTTTTTCAGTTTATGTACAAAATAAATGTAGTATTAAAAACTGAGTTTCTCAAAATTCATCATAATATATCTTTTCAACTCCAAACGGAAAAGAAAGCGAAAAATCTTGTACTGGCAAATCAAGTTTTTCACGCAAAAGAGCATATAATTAAAAACAATAATAGTAAAAGTTATGATATAAAAGCTAAAGTCATCTGCAGTTAGCTTGAAGCCTTATGAAATATCATTCAAGGTAAATTATTTAAATAGTTCCTATTTCAATTGCATAAAAATGAAATTATGTGATATTTACTTTTTCATATTAATAGCACGAATTCATCTTTTTTTTCTCTAATTTATATGTAATCTTTGGGAACCTATAAAAATTACACTCACTGTTTTTGCTATTATTAGCACAATTAAATACGCAACATGTATTTGCACACATTTTTGATAAAATTTATGCGTAAAAATATTTTGTCCAATATTGTCCTATTTCACCGCTACGCACGCTGGCATCGTTTCAATGTACCCTACCATGGTCACGCACGGAGCGAATATTGCATAAATAAATTGTATTGTATAAATACTACCTATGTATTTAGTATTTAATATACATTTATATTGATGTAAATAATATATATATATATATATATATATATATATATATATATAATATGTGATTTATTTTTTTAGTTATTAATATTGCCGTTTTTACTATCAATTGGCCTTTGTGACGTACAATTTCTTATACCTGAAGAACATACACCCCCACCGCCTCCAAAGCCATATGCGTTTGGATACGCAGCTGGAAGGTTCCCGGGGCACATAGACAGAACCCACTCCGAAGTTTCCGATGGATCTGGGCTCGTTCAAGGTATGTAAAATAGCAATTTACACGAAATAGCTTAGTCTATATATATATATATATATATATATATATATATATATATATATATATATATATATATATATTATATAATATATATATGATCAGTATATACATGCATATATGATCCTTTCTCAAGTTAATATGCTCTTTTTCTAACTTGGCTGCACCGTACTGAAGACGACCAATAGTCAGAAATACGTATATACGGTTGCCTTCTATCCTATGCACATATTTTATTATTTTTTTTCCTTTGTTGCGAGCTAGGCTGATATCTTTTACCTTTATTATATATATATATATATATATATATATATATATATATATATATATATATGAAAATCACTAGGTTCTCGGGAAGAACCGCGTTGAGAATTGAATGCTCGACGTTTCGGCTCCCATTTTGGAGCCATTATCAAGAGGAATACGGTTCGGTTCGAGTTCGGGGTCTCAATCTGCCTACTCCCCTTACTCGAGACGTACCAGTATCGTGTTCTGTATTATAAATACAAGAACTGTCTCTCGGCACTGAGGTCTCAATCTGCCTACTCCTCAGTGTCATATTGAGTAACATATATATATGTGTGTGTGTGTGTGTGTGTGTGTGTGTGTGTATATGTATATTAATGTGATATCAAGAAGTTAAACAATTTTGTTATCTTAGTTTTTACTCTTGCTTCAATATCTATACTTTACAGCTGATGGGTTAGGTCCAAAGAATAACGGAATAAAACAACATAGTATGATATGAAAATAATGTAATAAAATAAACTGATTAAAATACCTCCAAAAATTATTAGCATACAATGTTTATCAAACAAAAATCGTTCTACGTACGTGAACCTTCAATAATGCATGGATAATATAATACAATTACAATCTAAAATCGAGCTTATTATTCTACGTAAACAAATCAAGTAATATTCGGTGTTCTTCCTAATTCAATTTTGGTATATCGATTGTACCAGAAAAATTTGTATGAATTATCCAATTCTCTCCACACCTCTGTAACCTCTCAGAACAAATTTGATCTCCTTCGACTATCGACAGCTTATTCACACGTTACTAATATGATATAATATTGTTTGACCCAAAATTCTCAAATTGAAATTAATTGTGAATGTTTCTCCCATTGAAACGCTTCCTCTGCCTTGAGTTGTCCAATTCCTCGTTCTATGCAAAATAAACTATCAGTTCTCAGCAGCCTCCTATGTAATTGGCAATATTAGACAAGATATTGCAATTTAGTGTCTTCAATGCTCTCCTTCGAATGTACGTACCTTTCCAATGATTCCAGCCTCTTTTCCTCTCGCTAAACTTAATCTCTCGTTCCGAAATAAACAGCGATGCGTAGAATACAAGTAGGAAAAGTTTACTTACAAATTTGTACCAGATCAGCTACCTTCGGACACACTTACTTCACCAACTCACAACTTATTCTTTATCACTTACTACCCCTGGAGACCACCTGGAAAACCAACCATTCACTTTAAGAAACTGGAACTAACTAACTATCTCATCTCATATATCCATCCATCCAACCTCTCATTATACACACCCATCTCACCACTTTCCAAATTCTCGGCCAATCAGAAATTTGCATACCACTCCCCACATAAAATCAGAAATACCTCCAAACTTTCCTAATTCATATTATTTCTACAAGGACACTTAATTTCTATTGGGTATTTACAGATTCCGAAAAACCATTTACTTATTAACTATTTTTATTGTCCTGTTTATGGCGCAAACCCGGATTACGGAACACTTTATGGCTTATGGGAAAAAACGATCGTTAACTTCTATTCATTGTACCCGCACTATCCACTTGTTATATTTATAAAAAGATTATTTATGACTTAGATTATTTTTCTTCTTCACGTGCCATCTCCTCCATCATAGCAATTCGCACTTTCGACGCCTAAAGAGTAAATTGTACTCACTCTTTAGGCGTACAGAGGTGCTCTAAAGAGGACAGCAGAAGTGCAGTTAAACCAAGCTCTTAAATTAGTCAACCAGGAGATGCGTCTTCTTCCGCGACTCATTCTACCCTGTAATCTTCCTTGCATTATTAATTACAACAACTTATAACGCTCGCCCCTCATAACATGTCCCAGATATTGCAGTTTTCTGACTTTAACTGTATTTAAGACCTCTTTATCTTTACCCCTTCTTCTCAACACCTCGACATTCGTGACTCTATCTACCCAACTTATTCTTAATATCCTTCTGTAGGTCCATAACTCGAAGGCTTCCAATCTGTCCGACACATCTTTCTTTAAAGTCCAAGCCTCCAACCCATAAAATAATACGGAGAACACATAGCATCTCAGAAGTCTTATCTTTAAAGAAATTGAAATGTCCCTGGTACAGAGTATTTTTTTCAGTTTATTTATTTATATTTTTCAACTTTTTTAATTTGTTCTCCATGTATTGTTATGCTTTCTTGGCGCTGTTGGGCTTTTGTAATTGCCATAAATTGTGTCTTTTTTGTGTTTAGGAACAGTGCGTTTTCTTCACTGACTTCTACCACTCTGTCAACCATTTGTTGTAAATCCTCAAGACATTCCGCTAATAAAATAGTGTCGTCGGCAAACCGTATATTATTGATTGGTCGGCCATTTACTTTTATTCCCATAGTTAGTTCTTCTAGTGCTTCCTGGATTCTTTCCTCTGAATACAAATTAAACAAAGTAGGAGACAGGACACAGCCCTGCCTCACGCCCCTCTCAATCTGTATTTCATTTGAAAATACGTTGTTGTCTTTTACCACAGCGATCTGATTATAATAGAGAATAAGATTACCTTTGGTTAATTTCAGGCAGTTCGGAGTATTTTTACTTTCTATAATCTCTGAAATATTGATTCCATCGTACATTTAATATCTTTACTCTTCAATTTTGAATACCATAACAATGTATATATAATATATATATATATATATATATATATATATATATATATATATATATATGTATATATATATATATATATATTATATATATATATATATAATAATAAATGTAGAGAGGCACTCCAACATACCAAGTCACCTAGGTCTCGATAACACGGAAAGAGTACCATTAGAGTTCAATCCTTTTAATACCTTGGGCATCGGGGATGAGTAAATTTTTCCCTTAAAGGGAGTGTGAGCCGTATGGCTAAATATGAATATATGTAGCTCACTAAGGTAGTGGAGGGTTCTCGGTCAACAGTTGGAGAATAAAACAAAGGATATCAGCTACTTCATCTTATTGAAGACGTTTAATGTACTCAATTTATACACATCATCAGTTCATCTAAAAAAATTATTTAAATAAGCAAACATCCATGGATACAAACAAATTTTCACATAACCCTATGACCCTATAACCCCATACATGTGTATGAAAATAGCTTAATTTATGTAAAAGTTTATATTTTGTAAAAGTTGAAAAACAGTTCAAAGAACAGACATGTTAAAAAAGCTTTGGTGTAAGTAAATAAACAAAAACATTATATCCAATATGGATGACAAACAAAGTTCCAAAAATAACACTGATATTACTTAGAAATAATGGGAATTATAGTAGTTTGTTTAACTTTTGGTAACCTTATTAAATCCACTTTTATTAAGCAATAAATGACAAAGAAAGATTACCGGAAAAAGGTACAATGCGTTCACTTCAAAGGTTGTATTGAAAGACAAGAGTGACAGTTCTCAAGTACTATAATTTTCTATATACTATATTATTTATCCTTGACTATAATTTTATACCATGATATATGATATAAATTTTTATATGTCATTATTTCACTATAAAATACAGTGGCGGCTCGTGGCTTGAGAGGCAAGGTCGGCAAGGTATTTTTTGTCTCCACAGATAGGTATACCGTCCAATAAAGACTTCAATCATCATAGAAGATTTTTTGTTTTCTCGTTTTTTGTTTTTTTTTTTGTTTTTTCCTTTAAATTTAGAACCTAAACATGTTTATAAATTAACTCCAGTCTACGTTGTTTGGAAGTAGCAAAATGGGTAATAACGTCATCGTAAAATTTATTAGAGTTTTGAAGAGATTTTAAAAGTTTTTTTTTTCTATTGATATTTGAGACAAGCTTAACATTCTCTCTTTTTTCATGGTATTTCGACAATAATTTTTTATTCTTTTGAGGCAAGAGAAATCTCGTTCATTTGAGGCAGACGTTGGTGGTAATGCGAGAATTAATGACAATAATGTTGGATATAGATAAATAAATTTGAATATTTTCTAGAAGTGTCATCTATTGGCTACTTTACTAGTTGAATAATGTATCACTTTCCTTTTTTAGGGTAGTAGCAAAATTACAGTCATAGAGTAAACACGTGTTTCATGTTGTTCATCAAATCTCCATTTTTGTTCCAGAACTTTATAATTTCTCAATAAATAATTTATTAATTTCGGTAACAGTTTGTTGTAATGAATTGCAATATATAAAATTATACATATCTTGTAACTTGTCCCATCTTCCGAAAATATTTGGATCAGCATATAAAACTTTTAATTCATTTTCTAATTTTATTTTATTAAAGAATGATGGATAATTTTTAATCAACCTGTCTAATAAATATCTTGGAAATTCTTCGGCGTAACTTTTAAATTTTAAATCGTCAAAGAGATCAAAAATTTGCAAATCTTCAAAATTCGAAAAACAAGTATATATTTGCATAATAATATTGTCCAACATTTCAAAATATAGGTACTCGTTTTTCGAGATCTGTTTCTTTGTCATGCCTTTATTTTTTTGGGGGGGTTCGGAAATATCAAGCGAGTCCAAAACGTCACTGCGTATATACTGGAAATTACTATCATTACGAAAATCTGACTGAGATTTTGCACCAGTCTTGTTATTCTATTTTTGGAATGAATAATGTCAGTTAACTGATTTTGAACAACATTGAATATCAAATCGGTTTGGCTAAACACTTTCTTAAAAATATTTAAAAGTATGTTAAAAGAGTAATCATTTAATAAAGTTTTCAAACCAATTGCTTTATGGATCGAGATATCATCACTTTCAAAATCGTCACATTCAATAATAAAATCAAAAACTTTTAAAAGCTGTTCACGAAAATCTGCTACAGTGAAAACTACCCGAGATTTAAAATTCCATCGCGTCTGACAAACTGTTGGCATTTTTTTCGAAACAAACCGTTCTAAAACATTAGTCCGTTTAGGCAAGCTTGAGAAAAAATGAAGCAAATCCGCTTAAACTGGCAAAAAAAAGACGACATTCTTTAATTTTCTTACATGTATCTTGCAAAACTAAATTCATTCTATGCGCATGACAATGAGTAAATAAAGCTTGCGGTGCAATAGTTTTAACTTTTGCCTGGAGACCATTTAATTCACCAGACATCACGGCAGCGCCGTTATAAGTGTGCCCTACCAATTTATTTTTGATACCAAAAAATTTTAATTTGTCCTTTAAAACACCAAAAATATGTTCTGCCTTATGGCTTTTACTCACGTCTGTAAAACCTAAAAACCTCTCATAGATATTACCACGTAACGCGTATCGAACAACAATTGACTGCTCTGATTCATCGTGTCCCCTAAAAGATAATTTCCTGACAACTTAAAAAAATTACAATAACTGCGTGATTATTTTTTACAATTTCGTTATGTTTAATAGCATTTTCACGTTGGGCATTATCTAATGAAACATGGATATTTTGTTTTCCAAATAAATCTAATTTAATCTGGCTGTAAGTATGATCTTTCATATGTATAACACGTTTATGTAAAGCCCTAAATAATTCCTTTAAATTATCGTAACCAGATTCACACCACGGATTTTGATGTTTGCCCCTATTTGTCGAAACTAAAATGCAAGGCCAACAAAAAAGTTTGTTTTTTATTTCACTCCCAGTAAGCCATGAGTACTTGCTGTACCAATTATCTGAAAATGATCTATTACTTCCCTTACCCGCACTAATATTTATAAGTCGGGACATTTTAGGCAAAGGACGCCCCTTATTTTTAATAACAATTTGTTCTTCGTATGGAATTGATGAAAACCCATTATGCAAAATATAATTTACAATATCAGACTTATCAATACTTACAGTTTCTCCCATGGCTTGCATTTTTTAGGTGTTTACTGAATTTGTTTACACTTTAATTAAAAAAAAAACTTCTAATATGTCAAAAAACCCTAAATATTTACGGCAGACGTAACGTATCACAATATTACTTTAGAAAATAAAAATAAATCACAAAAAGATAGGCTAGTTCGTGCACTGAATATAACTTCAGTTTACTACAAAAATGAAATAACATTTCGTCCCACGCTCGCAATGTACAGTTCGCGACCAATCACCAATCCAAATGAAACATCGGCAAATGTAAATCTGCCGGACTTAGTAATTAAGTTCATATGGAAAGAAATGTATATTTGGTTGCTAATCAACCAATATTCCGTTGATTTTTACAAGTAAAGTCAAGGTTGGGATCGGCTAGCCGAAAAAACAAAACGTGCATTTTCAAGAATTCGTAGGCGGATGGATGTCTCCGATATCGGAACATTTATTTGAAAAGTGTCTACGCAAGGATCACTTAACGCTCAGATTGGACGAATTCTTTTAAAAACCATGAATAAAATTTAGTCTTTATTATCTCACAGATAT